AGAACCTGGTCTAATTGTAACAGCAATATTGTTTGAGGCGAGCTGAAAAGAAACTGAATTTTTTTTACTTGAAGTTACCTAATAAAGTTGATATTTCAAGCGCCTCATGTGTCGTCTATACTTGGTTTGCAGTATCACAAAAAAAAGAGAAGAAAGAAAGGCATAGATTTTCTGATGTCTTGTATATGCTGTTATGAGTTTTTCTTGTTTAATTTTTTGACTACTTTTTTTCGTTCTCTGAAAATTTCTGAGGAACACTTTTATGTGTGTCTTCAATTACTTTCCAGAAAGACAGAGTAAGAACAAACACATTTAAGAATACAATGAGGAGAGGCAGCCTGGTCAAAGCTTGGATGAAATGAATTGTAAAATCATTAGCCTATTTGTGCTGATTCAGCAAAAATACGTTGGTTACTGCTTTTTTACTGTGCTTTAAAAAATAACATGCAGAAAAATACTTGCTAAATTTTGGTACTATCATTTGGCAATCATAATATCCGTTTGCCTATCACTACCAACATTCCCCTGCACAAAAAACACAAAAATTTTGTGGAAAAGTTTACCCTATTTATTTTTCTCAACAGGAATAGCGAAAAGCAACGCAATTAAAAATTGCCAAATACTTTTAACTTTCAGATAAAAAATCTTCTAAAGCAGGCAGTAATTAAATAAAAAGAACGTAATAAAGTCAAAGAAATGACAAAAAAGTCCTTTTAAAAATATAGGGACTATTCCGCGTCCGTTCGCAAACCTTTTTTTGACTGATATCTTAGAATTTTCTCAGCTTTTTAGACTAGTGCAGTTTAGGCCAGAATGTAGAAAACAGAAAAGAAAACATAGAAAAGTAAGCTTTTTCCCTCCCTAAGTCTCATAACAAAGTATCTTTAATCTTCCCAAGGAAGATACATCTTATGTAAAATTTTCCTCTTTACAGCACATCAGAAACTAGAGATGGTGTTTTCCTGAAGCTGGAAGTTAAAAGCAGGAAAAGACTATAAAAGTGAAAACAATTTGCTGTTCCTACAGTAATATTGCGCATTTTACAGTAGCCAAATAATCCTCAGCTGCTTCTGAAAGCCATGAATAGCGACTATGAAATCGTTCTACGTTTTATCGTTGAAGACTTATTGCAGCATTATACGTTACTCAGAAATACTAGCACTTTATTATTCTGCCGAGTTTAGGCTTTTCCAGTTCATAACTCTTGTCTTTAAAAAACAGGCATCCTCTGGTTCCTGAGAAATTACAAACCAGAAGATTCTACGTGAATATATCCTTTCTAAGTCAAAGACATTTTTTTCAAATTTATTAGAAATTTTACTTTTCCTCTATCCATACAGTTATTCAATAGAATTAACTTATTCAATAAATCTCTGAAAGTAGACCGCATTACACATCTAAACATCTAAAAAGTGCAGAATCTTGTAAGTACGCAGTTGAAGATTTCTGCGCCAAACAGCAACCCAGCAAGTTCAAACGAAATTAAAATGGTGCACTTTTAATTCGGGTATCTGTCAGCATTTCGAACGGACTGACAAAATTGATAGGTACCAAACAAGTCAAAAAACAGAATCGCTCTTGAACAGTGGCTTGCACGTGAAAAGATAAATTCAAGCGTTTTACTTTCTTGAGCACTAACAACAGCAAAAAATTGAACCACTATCGAACTTAAACAAACCTATAGAAAACTTTATCAAAAACAACAATCATACTACTTGAAGAAGCCGTTATAAACGACGTATAACAAATTGTAGGTGTGACAAAACCGAAAACGGAACGTATATAAGCCGATGATTTGCATTAGAGAGAAGCCATAAAATTAAGTGGTAAACGCGTATATAGCAGTTACCGTGCGATGATGAGGAAAAAAGCCAGATTTTCGACTCGAAATGCGGCTGCAATGATTTCAACACTGATGCCGCTCTGAATAGTAGCCTTCAGTACTTGCATCAAATCAGTTATCATCGTTGACAAACCTGGTTAATGCCACCGAAGAAAGCTGGTGCTGCCGCATTTGTGCTTCAGAAAGATTCAGACGGATTAGTAAATCATGTCCCATGAATGTTCCGATATTTTTGTTTCGTTGTTGTGCCAAAAAAAACCCTCCTCATCGATAATTGATAAAATTGGAAAAGAATAAAAGAAAAAAATTTTGTCGGGTCAAAGTCTTGACACTGACTATAGAACAACGACGTCAGCAGCAGCAGTAACAGCATTAACAAGAAGGCTTCTCATTCAACAATATTATTCCAATCAAATCTTTATTGCAAGACAACTGAATTTTTGGTTTGTTTATTAATCGGTCTCTCATTAATTTCTTTCTCTTTGCAGCATATCTATCGGTAGACTTTCAATGTTTGAACAAGCATAGCTGCTAATCATTCCGCATCCACGGAAGACAGCTAAATTTATCGCAGTTGACAAAAAACAAATCATTAAACTGAACTAATCAACTCAAATTATAATCCGTTAAACAAACAAGGAAAAGAACATTTCATAAAATCCGCAAAAAAAATGAATAAATAAATAAAAAACAAGCCAATACTGTAGAAATTCATAACAAAAGACTCAACAAGGTTTTGCTAAGTGACTAACCAAAAAATTTAAAACTAATTTTGTTGACAACAGAATAAAATTCAAATGCACAAAAAAAAGTTACGGCAGAATTTTAATTATGTTGTACATATTAACTGCCCCTTATGGGAACAACAAGTTTACCAAAAAAAAATTAAATTCAGTAAAATAAAGTGAAATATAATAAAATAAGATAAGGTAAAAAGTAGTAAAATAGTTAATTGAAAAAAAAAGGAATGAGAGCAGAAAGAAAAAGAAAAAACAGTCTTAAGAAACTGTTACTCTAAGCAACGATTCTATATAGAGGTTCATTGAATATTTAACAGTTTATCCATGCTATCGGCTTCGTATAAAGCAAAAATTATTTCCGAAATTATTTATAGGAAGTTAAAAGCACTCTGTTATATCAGAAAACAGAGGCTCGTTCCTTGGCATTTGGCCACTTTTAATCTTTTGTCTTGCCAGCTACTTTCTAAATTATAACTTTGGCACAGAGACGTACAAAGGCATATTATTGTCTATTTTTAATAATAAAATTCTACAAAGGCTCTATTGTCTGTGACGTCATCTGCCTCCTTCGTTTCTCAGACGGCAACGAACAATTTGAATAACCTATTCGTGTGGACGGACATCGCTGAAGTTAGTTAATTGAACTGTAATTTCTTTTACTCAATTACAACACCATTCTGAAGTGCTGGACAACTGCTGTCCAATTTGGTTGACGAAGATACATCATTACTGGAACTGGTCGTCGGAGTGCTGCTGCCTTCAGACATCTCCTCAACTGTTGACAAAGTTTTTGAAAAAGTAGCTGCCTCACATTCGTCAAAATCTAAGTCTCCGAGCATCGCCTAAATGATTTTTAGTCTTTACTTTTACGACTGACTTCGGACCAATGTTTTGTCTACTAAGTGCCCTAGAAGTATAACAAAACAATCTATGTATTATTTAAGTTTCCTTTACAAAGCTTTTGTTTAAGGTAAAGAAAAAAAAAATTAAAATCTGCACATAAAATATGATCCTTTTACAGCGCTTCAGTTCACTGAGGCAATTAGAAAAACCTATTCTTCATGTAAAACTTCTAAAGCAATGTGAAAGTCTTGAAATTTCCATCTTGTCCCACTTTGTTAATTTAAAAAAAAACTTAATTTAAAAACACAATTTGAAATTAGGCTGGCTAGCCTTTTCGACTTGTTTTTCCGTTATACAGTTACGACTAAAGACTGCATTACTGACTAATAAAAATAATGTTGTTTTTCACCTTTAATCCAACAATTTCTCCTTTCACGACTAGCAGTTGAGGAAGATTTTGGAAATCTTGAAGTACCTGAAAGAACATGAATGATATTCAAAACCTAGGTTTTTCCAGTTGCAACTACACATATTACGGGTAAAACTCAATTACCCAAGGTCCTTAAGTTGAAAACTTGTGACATAAGTTTGGTCTAAATAGAGTTAAGGAATGCATTAAAATTCTGAGAAAAAGTTTAATGATTAAAACGATACTTCGTAGTTTCGACACCCGTGTACAATAACTTTCTTCAGTGCTCCGTGCTGGGCAAGCTCAACGACTGTACCTCTATTAATTTTCTCCAAGTCTATTTGTCGAAGGTAAATAAACTGTAATATTTTCAAAATTTTTCAGTGCACAAAATTCACTTTTAATAATGGTTTGGATCAAAATAGGCAAAAGTGCAAAAAATCTACACTTATAAATGTCAATTAAAAAGAAAATTAACAGGCTGAAAAGCCGGGAATTAATACTGATGTTTTTAAACTGAAATAATGAATCACTAATAAATCACTAACGAATCTTCAAAAAAATGACCAAGAAAACTATAAATAGTGATAAAACTCTTTTATTCTCGATGCTACGGTCATACAAATTTAATGTACTAAAGTTAGAACGTATGAATTAACTAAACCACTTTTTCGGGCTGGCAGGTTTCAAAAGCTACAAAGGTCCCAACCTTTCGGTTTCAAATTTTAAAAAACTGCGTTCTGCTGTCCCCATACGCTATAAATATTTTGTACCTCTACTGTAGTTATCGTTGTAGGCAAGTAGTTATTGCCTCTTTTACACTTTTTATTTAAGAACTATTTATGAAACGATTTTTTACTAATGTTATATCAGAATTAAAAGCCTCGGTTTAACACCGCTGCCAGAAGAACCTAAAAACCCTGTACTGCGGCAAAACTTTCAGTTTTTTAATGGAAAAAGAGTAATTTTGCGATGCTTTATTTCCATATTGTCATTCGAGTTTTTTAAACTCTGAAATTTCAAAAAATCCTAATTTGAATATAACCGGCAAACTGCATTGCTCAAAAAAATAGTTTGTGGACAGGAATTGTATGCAAAATTCGGCTGACATTCTTTCATTTGCTTGCCAAATACAGTGCTCCACTAGCCGACTTTTTTGTGATCCGTAAAATGAATTTTTCTGAGTATCTGTCTGTGTCGTTAGATATGTGATACTTGTTAAAAACCAAACAATTTTATATTTTTAGAGAACGATTCAAATAGTAAGTAATGACAGTCACTTACCTGCAATTTAGGCATTTTCTTAGCCATGTATGAGAAAAAGCTGTCCGGTAAAAAAGGATAATCGACTGGCTTATCGACAATACAGACCCTCTCAACTCGATGTTCGAATTTTTTCAGCAAAGTCATTAACGGTCCCTAAAAAAAATAATGTCAAAAACATTAATACTAAAAAACAAAGTGGGTTATGCAAAAAATTTTAAAGTTCAAAAACAACCTAGTACATATCAATAAATGGAGAAAAAATATTTGGAGGAAAAAGATTTTCCAAAGCCTTTAAATTCCCATGTAAAAAAAACTGTCTTTTGCCACAAAGTATAAAATTAATTTGAAAGAATACTTGGCTTAAAATGTTGTGGTCAAAAAATAGATTACAAATGTTTCGTAGAAAATAAGTTCCGCTGACAACTTAGGGCCAAATTTTACAGCTTTAATTTTGGCTACGTAGAAAAAAGTTGTTACCACCCAAAACCTTACGAAACTCGAAACTTTATAACCATTCAATGCTTAGCTAATAAATAATTTGCCTCTTGTATTTACCCAATGAATTTTACCCCCGTAACAGTAGTGAACTCCGTTATGGAATTTTCAACAAGTTTTCCAAGTGTTCATAAGTATCAACATTGCAGTAAACAGACGTAAAGACGAAAAGTGATAAAAAAAATTGACATAGGAAGTAATAAAACGTCAGATAGCCTGACAGCCAGCTTAAATCACCATCAATAACCAAGCAGAAACTCTGACGCCTTCAGAAGAAGGTAGTACCAAGTTTCCACGCTGCCCTTTGTATTTTTTTTATACGCCGCCAACTATTGTCTCATCTTAAATAACAATTTCAACAACTTCGACCAAACTACACCGCCATTACACCATCAGTCGCGTAGTGGAACTATCCGTTTGGGTTCATTCGCCATAGATTCTTTCAGTACTTTAGCGCCAGGTCTCCCCCCCCCACTTTACTCAAAAC